TTCTACCTCCAGGTGAATCCTTATTGGGATTCACAAATATTTAAAGCGGCTAGCTTTGCGGCTGGTCTTCGCAAATCTCCTGTGCTGGTTTGAACTATAGCGGATCGGACTTGGCCATCCTTTGCGGCGAACACTTCCTTAATTCTGCCTTTGAGCCATTTACTTCTCGGGAAATTTGGTTCGCATACTATTACCAACTGTCCTGGCTGTAGTGGTTTGACTTGTTCCCTCCATTTTGGGCGACATATTAGGGATGGCAAATACTCACTGGTCCACCTTTTCCACAAACGATCTTTCAAGGCTTGCGAAATTCTCCATTGCTTTCTGGTGCACAACTTTTCTTCTTCGAGACTTGGAGTTTGCGTTGAATTCAGGCAACCCAACAAAAAGTGGTTCGGCGTTAGCGGCTCTTGGTCGTGATGTGAGATTGGAATATCTGTAAGCGGACGGCTGTTTAAGATGTTTTCAGCTTCAATTAAAGTACTTCTGAATGTTTCCAGACGAGGCGCTTCTTCCTTTAGCACTCGCTCCAAAAGTCGCTTTACACACTGAACCAATCTTTCCCAGCATCCTCCAGCAGCCGGGTTCGCAGGGCAATTAAAGATCCACTCTATACCGCGTTCGGCGCAATCTTGTTCAATACGGTTAAAGTCAAATAGTCTCTCTTCGACGCGTAATAGTTTTTGGGCGCCAACGAAATTAGTTCCGTTATCGCTTCGCATTCGTACGGGTGTGCCACGACGGTTGATGAAGTTTCTGATGCAGATTATGAACGCATCGGTCGATAAATCCTCAGCTACCTCCAGGTGTATGGCTCTGACGGTTAAACACGTGAATAACGCAACCCAGCGTTTCTCTCTACGACGACCAATAGTGACGAAAAATGGACCGCAGTAATCGACTCCTGTGTAGCTGAATGGACGAACGTAAGGCGTGAGGCGATCGACAGGCAATTGACCCATCATCGGCGCACTTGGCTTGGCTGTGTTGATGATACATACGGAACAACGTTTTTTTACTGACGTAAGCACTGCTCGGATGTGTGGTACCCAGAACTTTTGCCGAATTTGATTTATTGTGAGACAATCATTCTGATGATGAAGCTTTTTGTGCCAATATGAAACTAAGAGACTGGTTACGTGGTGGCGTTGAGGCATTATGATTGGACGACGTGCCGATAGAGGGAGGCAATATGCTGCATCGATGCGGCCATTCACTTTAATCAAACCATCGATGTCTAAAAATGGCGTAAGTTGGTATAACGGGCTCGACTTCGACACTTTTTGCTTGGAGAGCAACTCTTCTAATTCGTTAGGAAAGACCTCTTCCTGAACGCGGCAACATACGAAGACTTCTGAGTCAGTGATCTCAAATGCTTTTAGCTCTCCTGAACGGCGAATACGGTTTCTTGCGTTAAAGTTGAATCGTAACACCCAGCTCGTTACCCTAAGTAACTTCAAAAAAGACGAAAATTTTGTAAAATTAATGACATACTCATCTGTTGTTGAGGTGAGAAGCAAGATTTTCTTCTCCTCGGCAGCACATCCTGTTGACGTAAGTGGCGTAACTTCTTTTGGCCACTCAGATTCTGGGAGTTGCAGAAAGGTAGGCCCCTTGAACCAGCGGTTTCGTGCATCGGATTCTGTCATGGGCTGACCTCGTGTGGCATCGTCGGCAACATTCAACGACGAGGGCAACCATCTCCACTGTAATGGGTTTGTGCTAGAAATGATTTCGGCGATTCTACCAGCGACGAATTGTTTGTATTCTCTAGTCGTCGAGCGGATCCAGAGCAATACTGTCTTTGAGTCACTCCACAATACGATGCGATGTATATTGAAGTCGTGGTATTCCACAACTGACTTCTGAAGACGGCTACCAAGAACTGCGGCTTGCAGTTCCAAGCGGGGAATTGTCATGCCCTTAAGAGGAGCACAACGCGATTTAGCGGCGACAAATGCGATATCAACGTCTTCCCCTTTGCATATGCGCAGATACGCGACGGCTGCATATGCACTAGAACTGGCATCCACGAACACATGTAACTGCACCTCGTCTGCTACTGGCAGCATTGTAGAATGGCATCTTGGGATGGAAAGTTTATTTACCTTTTGAAAACTTGTCCACCATGACGTCCACTGCACAACGAGTTGGTTCGGGATTGGTTCATCCCAATCGACTTGACGCTTCCACAAAGACTGCAGCAGAATCTCATACATACTGTGACATTAGCTAAAAATCCGAATGGATCGTATAGCAAAATTCCAATCGCAATGTTCGAAAAAGTATACATACATATAAACCAGCATATAAACGGTTTTTAAAGAGAATACAAACTATTAATGTTAGCAAACGATCAAATTGTATACAGAAATTTTGGGATACATAAATACATAAGGTAATCTTCGAAAATGAGAGGATTGAGAGGATTCGAAATTAGATGCATAAAGCAATATTAATAAATACATAAAGCAATCTTCGAAAATGAGAGGATTGAGAGGATTCGAAATTAGATACATAAATGACTGATAGAACATCTGTTTTAACTTATTTGCTATCAGAGTTGTATTTTGATGCTGGTGGTGGTTTTCACGCACCTTGTAATGGGGGTATTCAGTAATCTCGCCAACAGTATGTATAGACTTATTTCACACAAAATACCTTAAAATATCTTATCAAGGAGCGCAATGGTGCTGGCGGTTGATTTAATTGTGGTAATTTGAGATTGCCCCTGGACAACTCAATCCTGGCATGTCCGAATAAGACTTTAACGCATTGTAGTATGTATTTCAAATCGCATCAATTGGGCAAGTTGGAACACACGGGAGAGGGACATACTCAGTGGTGCAGCAGGTCGATGTTATCGGACATTCACGCCACTTTTTCTCACTTGGCGATTTTGAGTAATAACTCGATTCTAGCGCCATCTGGCGGTTCTTTTTCCCAATAGTATTACCCTTGCGGTTACAAGTACATATATGATTTCATATATCTCCATAACAATTTCCAGTACCATACCCCGAACACTTCCAGAGATAACCGTTAAATACACTTTACAACTTATTATCGTACCTACCAAATGTACACATAAATTTTCATGAAAATCGGTCGAGCTGTTTCGGAGGAGATTTCTAAAAAAAAAACTAAATTTTCGTTTAGGCTCTTTATTTTTGTAGTCACAAAAAAAAAATATTGTATTTGTCTTATATGAAAAAAAAGTTATATTGGTACCAGTTTATGAATCGTTTACCTGAGGGTTTAAACAGTTAATTAGTGGGAGCTTAAGTTAAACAAATGACAAAATTAATTATTAACTTAACTAAATTTCACACAATGCCGCTTATACATTAAGTATATGTATGTATAATGTACATACATATGTAGCTAAACTTGTATGGCCAGAAAAAGTTCATCGTCTATTCAAAGGTGTCGCTGAACTTGTCAGACAACTAACTGTTGAAGGCGCATACCTTTGGTTTTGTTTTACACAAAAAGAAAAAAACAACAACATAATATATTTTAAATAAAACAAACATTAGAAGATGTGTATTAGCTACCGTTACGGCGAAAAATAAGAGAATGCTTTAATTGGGTCAACGTCACGCAAGCCAACTGTTGCTCGAAAAAATAGAAATGAAATAAATATTTATAAAGAAAATCAGCTTTAGAATAGGTAAAAATACGAATGTGACTATTGGACATTTCATTGGCATATTTGACAGCAGTTGCTGGTTGAGCAGGTGCAAGCTTAGCCTTTGATATTTGTGCCCAATAAAATACGAGTATTTGGACAACGATTACTGAATTTAACTTTTAACTTTTCGGTTTGACCCACTTCCAAGCGATTTCACCTACATAAATTTTTATTAAATAAATGACATGCCTGCATTGAGGCATGCCTCTGAGATATTTTTCGCATTTGTCAATACAACTCGAAACCAGTTTAATAGCCAATCATTAAAATAAATTTTTTTTTGTGTTACAACTTTTATAGCTTAAAAGTTAATAACCCTAAAAACAAAATTCAACGTAGAGTATTCTATTTTATTAATTAATCTTTAAATTGACCGTTACTTTTCGTTAAATTATGACGCAAAGCGCATACAAATTTAGTATTGTCGTGTGAGCCATTGCTGTGGCACCTGTCGTTGGCCCTAAGCACTGAAAGTGTAGCAAAAAAGTATTAATAAAATAACAATTTGCATATATGTATATGTATTTTGTATCTTAATGAGCCTCGAGGCGGGATCTCTAATGTGTCATCTAAAAAAATATTCAACGAATTTATTTTTCGTATCACACAGCGTGTGTTTTGTTTTTAGCCAAACAAAGCATAAACAAAAGAGAAATCAACAAGATTATGCGAATGTAAGCACATGTTTATGTCTTGCGTACATATATGTATGCACATTAGGGTGGTCCAAAAAAAGCATTTAAAGAAGTAAAGATGAAATTTTTCAAAATTCAAAGTTCAAAGTTCAAAGTTTTCCATGTATTTTATATGGGGAAAAATCACTTTTCGTTGAAATTTTATAGAATTCTTGAAAATTAATATTTTTTCCATCAAAAAACCCAGGTTCTCTCCAGGAGGCTTTCAGTAATAATAGCCAATTGTTTACTTAATCATTTTTTCTTATTAACTATAATTTATAAGCCAGTCAAAAACCCACAAAAAATTCTATGTGGGCAGCAATAAAAACTTGTTGGTATAAAATAATGGTTAAGTAAACGATTGGGAGTTATTATTGAAAGTCTCCTGAAGAGAACCGGAATTTTCAGATCGAAAAATGTTAATTTTCAAGAACTCTATACCATTTCTACGAAAAGTGATTTTTCTCCATTTAAAATACATGGAAAACTTTGAGCACTTTGGGCGACCTCTAAATATTATTTGATTTCAAAATAAAAAATTTGGTTATATTTACCCCCAAATTCTGTGCTCTTGACAAATTGTCAACCTTGATAAATAATCAAGAAAAAAATATTTGTATCATGTGTTCTGATTTCTGAGTCAAAAATAAAATTATTTGTAAGTCAAAAATAAAAGTGTTTTTATTATTTTTGACGCTAAACTCAAAAAACTTGATACAAATATTTTTTTCGTGATTATTTATCAAGGTTGACAATTTGTCAAGAGCACAGAATTTGGGGGTTATTCGATATATGTAGAACAATGCTAGGAGGTGGAGCATTAAAATTCCGACTTTACTTTTTTGGACCACCTTAATCATACATAAATATATATGAGGGCATAAACAGTAGTCTTCTATTATTTATTATAGTTATATATGTATACTTTTAATACATATGTAATATAAGAGCAGCAATTAATAACTGTAGAAATATAAATTTAACTGATGACTTAGCATGAGCTTTAAGCTTCAAAACTTTTAAAATAATTTGTGTGCACATACGCAGCTAAGAGTACGTAGCAGTTAAGGAAGTTTATAGAGCTTTCTTTACTTGGAAAAAATCATGTTTTATTTACTAAAAAATACCCATGTGGAGTTAGAAATTTTTCCATAATCTATGAGCAAAGTGACGCGTGGGATATGAGAAACTCCCAGAAATTTTTTCATTAAGAAGAAGCGGGGGTTTTACCTAAAGACTTTTGCTGGGATTATGAAATTTTTTTCAAAAACTTAGCTACCAGATTGAAAATTATAAAAAATTTTTTTTTTCTGCAAATTTGCAATTTGATCGACAAAGCAAAAAATTTAATATTTTTTTTTAAATACAAAAATAGAAATGAGTTCCGCATTTGGAGCTGCAAAAATACAAAATACCACTGTAATGCTGGATTTCCACCAGGCATTAAATGGCAAAAATGACAAAGTTGGGCATTAAAAAATTATCGTGTCATTATGTGAAAAAAGTATTCATTAAGTTCATTTCCACATGACATTTTTTTAAATAGCATACATTTTTTGTCATTTCAATGCCTAGTGGAAATTCGGCATAAGGAAGACGATAGAAAATTTTTTAAATTTTCGGCGTCTCCTTTTGTGAGACAAAAATGGTTTGAAGCCGTGGAAAATTACCGTAACAATGTTAACACACGGCGAGAGTTTCTTTATTCACATCGCGAATATTCGCAATACATTTTGCTGTTCACTTATGCATTAGAACTTTGTTCCCGGATAATATGTGGCCAGATAATCTAGACGCATTCTCTTCATTTCGTCTCTAGTACGGAATTCATAGAAAATTGCATAAAAATAATGCCGCTATAGAAACCAAGTAAGTTTTTGCAAAATTCAATTAAATATTAATAAGCTGATACGTAATGATTTCATTCTCTTCTGTTTCTTTGCAGCCATTGTTCCTGATAAATTACACGACTAATTTCTTTTAGATCCGGACTGAATAATAAAGAAACACGCCCACGGTCAAACAAGTGTGTGATCCACCAACAGTGCGGCCAGATATGCATTTTTAGTTGAAGCGGTTTTAATTGATTTGTGGCACAAATGGACCACATGGTCTAACAATTTTTGCAGGGATTTAGCAAAGCTACTTAAGGATGGCAGATTCGCCATATATTCGTACGTACTTAGCTGAAGTGAGAATTTGCAATGCGTTGATGATCCAAAAATTGGCGAAAATTATGGCTGCTTTGCGTTTGCTAAGTTTTCGCGTAGCAGCTGGCTAAAAGTTTTTTAAAAATTACATATATTTTTTTTGTTGCCGGCACTTGTATATTGGTAAGCACCTTTGAGGAGGTCTATATGTATGCATGTATGTGATTGAGAATGATTGAGCATTTTAAATACGCAATCCAATTAAAATCTACTGCGATAATCAGAAATATATGTATATTTATTTGCTTACGGTTACTAATCATAATAAATATATTGGTAAGTAATTGAAAAATGAGATTCGTAAGCTGTTGACAGCAAACAAAATTAGAAGTTTTCCTCAATCAACTCTGAAGCAAAAAGTAGAGGAAATTAATTAAAACCAATCCTTAGCACACAAGCACTCAGTTCAGTTTCTAAAAATGTACCATGACAAGCATTGATACATTTGAAGTACTCGTAGTAATCAATTTGAAGTTTACGACCAACGTAACAACAATAAAATGCTACCCACGAACCATAGCAAATAAATGAAATTTTTTCGAAACGGCAAGCTGTGACAGCCAACAGCGTCACAATTCTCCTTCCTCGCTCCTCATCAGAATTATAATGCTATGTGTTCTGCATCGAATCTCTAGTCTGCGAATTTTTTGTTAATTTGTTCTCGCGGCTTAATTTGCGTTCTTAACGTTACTGATCGTACATACATACATACATATGTACAGTGAGGCAATTAGCGCTAATTTATGAGTAATTTAAATTTAAGCACAGAGCTTTGGTGCTATATTCTTACAGTACTTATGTAAAGATCCCTTATCTAGGTCTAAGATAAGTTGTAGTAGAAATATATGGTCGCCACTACTGCAGTCAACTGGTCCTAGTCGAAAGCGATGCTAATTCTCACTGCGTGATTTGCAATAAAGAGCGGGATTATACTTTATTTCTTAAGAATCCCGAGGAGGTCATAGACGCAATGTTATGCAGCGAAAACCCTTTATGATGAGGGCAAGAGCTTCAGAGTTCTTGACTAAGACTCTTTTTCTGTCCATGGATACATCGAGGCAATTTTTAATTTTGATTCAGCTACTCCGAGGGTTCAAAAGAATCTGGTGAATACTGAATGGAACTATAAAATAATTTTTGAGAAGTTACCATTAGCATTTAACGTACCGGGATTTGGAAAATATGGTTTACTCTCGCTCGGTTTTACTCTGACCCTAAACCCAGTAGTAAAAATGAACCTTCTTGACGGTCGAGGCAGCTAGGCTCATTGCACCTTTTTATTCTGAACAAATTTGGTCTTATTCCTAGCAAAAAACTTTAATTCCATACATAGATGTTCCTACGGAGATTCCAAGCAGGGATTAGCAAGTGCAAAGATATGGCATGCCACTAGGGGATTTTGCAATTCTCGCAGATGGCTCGAACCCAAATGACAAAATGCGAAGAGGAGTTTTCTCACGAAAGCCTACCCCGAGCTGCTCGTTTCATTTGTTGGACAACTATACATAGTGAGAAACGACTGGCGTGCTATTGTGGACTCGGCTATAATCGCTGGGGAGGTTACAGCGCTAATCAGGAAGAGAAAGATACACAGTGTCTTCCAGGCTAGGATTTATCAACTAAAACTTGTAACAGATACATCTGGATATATTTTTTTCATTTTCAGTGACACCTATGGTAGTCTGAGTAGTCAGAAGTCCGGCAATGACAAGCCTTTGAGGTTAAAGTTTTCCATAAAATGATTCTCATACAGAACTTCGGACGTTCAAAAGCGACGTAAACGTAATAATTTCAAGACACAGTACAAATCGCAAGACGAAGCTCGGCCAGACAATAAGTGGTAATGAGAGCCATTAATACCCTTTTTTATTTTTAATTTAATTAATTTTTGGCATATTCGGACACACTGTACTGCCGATGGGGTTAAGAATGTTTTCAAATGTCTCTGCCAAATCAAATAAACAAAATAAGAATAATAACTATGTGATTAAATGAAGTGAACAACGTGAAAAAAAATCTCATAAGATTATATCTCTTCGTGGCGATGATTATTGTTTTTATTTTTATTTTTGTTTTCATTGGGCGTTTTTTGCGTTTCATATGGTATGAAAAGGAAACGAAAAAAATTATGAAAACAAAAATTAAAAAAAAAATACGCAATTCAAAGCACAGATTCACTGGCAATCAGTGGAGCATTTGTCATCGCCACATTCGTACAAAGCCAACCAAGTGCCTAGAAGCTGCGTAATGGAACTTTAAAGCTGCGAAATTGTTGGAGACGACGACGATGGCGACATAAAACTTAACACAATGCCTTACAAGCCGATCAGTCGACAACATTTCACTTTGGCCGTAGGAAGCAACAAGCGATACGAGCAGCAGCAGCAGCAACAGCAAGCAACGGTAACATCAGCAGTGAGAGCAAAAAATATTGGTTGCAGAAATTTTTATAGTATCGGCATTTAAAATTCGTGGAAGTTCTTGGAATATAAGCAATTAATTTTAGTGTTTTGTACATAAAATTTGGCGTTGCATGACAAGCAATTATTAAAAGAGTTTAGGTGCAGAAATTTCGTAATAGACAGGCAGGCAGGCAAACAAAATGTACAGCTGTCAAGTGTTAGTGGTAAGTGTTAGTGGCGAATGATTCGCACAAATTTACGAAAATTTAAAATATAAAATTAATTAACCGCAGCTTAGAGGTTACAAATGTTCTAATCGATAAAATAGTGAAGAGTTTTAACAAATATTATAGAAAATATATAGAAGAGATTGAGCACTAAAAATTACAATAAATATTTAATTCCTAGCAACTTTCGCTGTTACTCAGCATTTTGACGCTACATACCACACTGGCTGCACCAGCCGATGCATCAGTTAAAACCAAACCCAGCTCCACTGAGGACTCTGCGAAATTTGTCGTCATTAGCGAGGATGTGATACCCGATTTGGAGAATACCACACAAAAAGTTATACGCGTCAATCCACTCGATCTGCCAGCGGTCACAGAGGATCGCAGCGGCAGCGTAGACTCATCACTCTACAAAATTCAGAGCCTATTGCCGCCCAGTCGCAGCTATGTGAACTCAAACCACATGCGTGCGACAAAAACTCGTTCGAAAAATTCCGTCGACTCCAGTCCTGTGGCTGCTAGTGTTAACAACTTTCCTATTATACGGCAACTTGCCGAACCGAAATTCCGCAAACCGATTCGTAATCAAAAGAAGCAGTTGCATTTCTTTTACAATCAAGTTGCCTTGGATGGCCAGGATGTGAGCAAGTCGATGCAGGTGCATTTGGCGCCTGGCGCTTATCCTGTATACTATACAGTTGCGAAAACGAATGGACGTTTTGGTAAATTTCCGATAAAAGGTTTTCGTACGCCTACAGAATTTTTGAAATATTTGGCTAAAAATAAAGTCGCATCGTTGGACGGTGCATCACGCGTGGAGAGTTGAGCGTTGGAGAAGGAAGCGGGCAGTAGTGGACGAATGAAGCGGTTAATAAAGAGTAGAAAATAGTGTATAGTAAAATTAAATTTAGTAATTAGAAAAATGAATATATTAAAGATATATTACATACGGTGCAACCGCTATACGGTTGTCGACGCAAGTCCGGAAATCGGTTTAAGGTTTTGGGCAAAAAATGTAAAAAGCTTTTAGCGGCAGACTGCTTCTTCAAAATTTATATTTTTCTGTTTTAATTAAAAGGCTTCAAAGTTGTCTTTAGCATTATGTGTGATTTATATAAGTAGCATCTAATTTATTTATATTTCTTAATTAAGCTATTTATATTTCTAAATAATGGCTTAGTGTACTTAAAGAACACATAGATATGTACGTATGTGAAAATTTTAAAATATTTAAAAGTGCCAGAACAAAGTAAAATTTTATATCGAAATTAGTTGCGAGTTAGTAGACGAGAGGTGCCTTCGATAATAAATAAAGAAATAATAAAAAAAAAAAATTTTTTTTAATTAGTTATAAATATGAACCAAATTGGACTAAAAAATACGGTGTTACCAAACATATTTTTATGCTGTCTGATAACAGTTATTTCCTTTCTCCTTTTTTATTTTCATCATCTTTATCTTCTTCTCCAGATCCATTGTCGTCGATATTCTCATCTTACAACGTTTATCAGTTAACGCAAAAAATAAACTTTAAATAATAACTGTCATCAAACAACGAAAAAAATAAACCTCGGCGAAAAAAAAATATTTCTTCAAATAAATGCTATAAAACAACGTTTTCGTTAAATTTCAGAATTCGCGCAACGCTTTCAATTTTAAATTGGAGATAACAGTTATTTTTGGTCCCTGGTTAACTTAGTCAAATACTCTTTAAGGCCGAAATAAAAGTCCGTTCTTAAAAAAAAGAAACCGGTTGTCTAAATTAAATAAATTTAGTATCAAATTAAAAAGGACTGAAATGGGTTTCAAATTTAAATATTTAAACGGGGAAGCTATACCAGTCCTTTTCCATTTGATACCAAATTTGTTTAATTTAGATTAGCTTATTATTAGTAATGAACTTTTTATTTGGTCTTAAAAATTATTTGCCCAAGTTCAACTGTGATTTCTTATTACTTTTAAACTTTTTCCCGAAAAGTTCGAAAAATAAAAATAATTCAGTGTTCTTGTAGAGGAGGTCTTGGGATCAAAGGCACATGGACAACTTTATTCTTCAATATTTTGCGTCCGCACTTTTATTAGATCCACAAAAAATAACTGTCATTTTCTCTCCCTGAAGCAAAGACATCCACGAAGATGCAAAAATTTTAAAAGCATTTTTTTTTAAATTTTTTCAATCGCAAAAATTCTACAAAATCTTGACTTGAAATCTAATAAATTTTACATATTTTTAAAACTTTTTCATATACATGCATAAACTCGCTGAGTTATAGCTAGTCAAAATAAATACTTTGTAGAATTTTTGCGATTTTTTCTTTCATTAAAAATTTTCCACACCCTTAACACAAGTTTTTTTTTTAATTTTGAAATTTTGTTGGACGACTTTATTTATTATGTAGAAAAAATAAAGAGGTGCCCCATGATGTAGGTACCTTAAGAATCACCCGAGTATATGTGTAAATGTAAAACTGTCGCGCTTCGAGGAACGTTCAAGAAAGTGTTTTGAATCAGCAGTGGAAAGGTTTTCAATAAAGTAATTTGCCGTTCGGAGTCGGCACTTAACAAATTAGAGGATAAGCTCGGCCAAACACTCAGGCGATTTAATATAAGGTTGTAGCAGGAGTACAAAAACAAAAATTTACATATATTTTGTATTTGCTTTGCCGGCATAAACTGTCAAAATCTGTAATAGTGTGTGTGGAAATTCAAACAAAATTTTTCTATTTGACATTAGAAGCCGTGAGGTGAAACATATACACAAACTCAGCTGATCTGGTAACGCCCCCTTATATAAATTAGCCTTGGATACAAGTTGGATGCCGCTTATAAGATTCTTATATACAAGTTTACGTATATATGTACATATTTATCATGTAGATTTGCACTCATAACAACCAATACATGACAAGCACAAAAAACAGCAACAGTTGCTTCAAGCTTTAGGATGATTTTTTTTTAGTGTACCGTTCTGTATCATTTCTTCTTTTCTTTTCTCCATGTAACGGCTTTGCATAATTCGTAAGTACATTTTTTACTCACTCAAGTCATTCACTTTAAGAGAAAGGTTAAGGTCGAAGAAATTTCATATTTGAGCCGTTTATTATGAAAGTGGCATAAGTCATTTCACAGCTCATGTACTTAAATGGCCGGTCACCCGTATCTTAACGCGTCGGTTATTCGTTTAAATTCAATCGAAGGAGGAAGGTTTTACCGTTAGTTTATGAAGATAAAGCGATTTAAAGATGCATTCAGTTGCAAGTAGCCGGTCATGTAAGCACAAGAGGTACGAAGTGACCTATGCCACTCTCAAAATAAACGGCTCATTTGTAAGTTTGTAATTAATATAAGCAAAGAAGTGAAGAGAGAGTTGAATGAATTATGAACATAAAATGAATTTGAGTAAGTAAATTAGTCGTTTTGAACGCCAACCATATAGAAAGTAGCGACCAGTGTTGGAAAAGCAAGTGCAATTGTACTCTTTTAGCCTCTTTTTAATTTGAAAGTACACTTGGTTCAAGCACGCTATTTTGGCATGTAGCCAAATATGTAGTTTTTCAGGAAATCCTTTCTTATCTTTGCTTTGGAACGCATTTTCTAATGTGGAGAAGTTGAGCAATAGCCGCCCTCATTTGTGAAGGGCTCAAATCCGGATCTACCTGAAATACGTCAGATATTGAAGACCCATCGCGAATTAGATATGCACCGAGCAATTTGTCTGAAGATTGAGCAACTCGAAGCAAAGTCATTCGCTGAAAACGATTCCTTCTAACTTATAGAATTTATGTTTTAATGTGAGACTAACAGGGCAATTCTGGCTTAACAAGGACAGTAAAGAGTCTTTCGTAAGACTAAAGAAAGACAGATGGCAAGATAGTTTGAAAGGCTTTTGTTAATCTGGCATAAAAGTCTTAGAAAAAAAAGCTCTCTCATTCACCACTCGTGGTGTAAAGCTACTTTGAGAGCAAGCACATGCATGCCATTTAGCTTGCGTCGCTCCAACAGTCGCAATGGCCGAGTGAGCAGAGCATAGGCATGCCGTTCGAAAGGCCACGAGTTCGAGTCTCAGGCGGCGGAACTTTTTTATTTATTTTTAATAATTTTTTTCCTTTTTAATTAATTAAGAATGAACAAATTTCATTTAATTTTCTAACAAATTTTTTTATTTATTTTTGCTTTATTTTCATGTTTTTTTTATTTAAATTTCTTTTATTTATTACATTTGATTGTTAAAAAAAGAAATGTATATATTTTTTAAAATTTAATTTAATAAAAAAAAACTTAAAAGACGAACAGCATAACGCTAAGAATAGACAACTGTTTTACGAAACAATTTTGTCTTTCAAACGACTGTGGTGAGGTGAAAGACGATTGCCAGAATTGCCCTGTAAAAGTTGATTTGGTATCGGAGGGAGAGGTTTTACTCCTCTTAAAAAGAGAATGCATACGAAAACATATATTTACTTTTTGGGTACATTTATCTACTTAACGTAAAGTTTTTCCGCAAATTAGCTACAATTTGCTAATTTTATTCTACGTCCTTGGTAATAACTTGAACAGCGCGCATCTACGATAAATCCGAAGCATTGATATAACCAATTGCCAACGGGCTAGGCAACTGTGAAAAGTGGCGCCTACAAATGTTTCGTTAAGCTGGCAGGTATAGTATCAAGCGGGCAGAGAAATGGCGATTCCAAAACGAGTATGTATTACATACCTCAGATGAGGTAGTTTCTCCTCCAGCAACATTTATTTTTATTTTGTTCTGTTTATTTTTTAGTCACGATAATGATTAATATCGATAGAAACTCTATTTTTACTAATAATACTAGCTATTTATTTATCATTAACATTTCTCTACTGCATAATTAACTTTGTTTTTGTTTTGTTTAATTCAGTTTCTAAATAATGCGCTTCAATATTCCGCATCAATTAAATAAAAAAAGATAAAATTGTATAATAGAAAAATATTTATACTGAAATCAAAGAGCTAACGAGCTAACGAACTATGTATCATTTTGTTGTTAATGTGATAATGTATGTACGTATGTATAATAGCCTCTACGCTTTATTAGTTATTTTTGAATGTGAGTCTAAAATTACACGAAGAAAACAATGTTAACAACTCAGCAATCAAGTGTGAACATATTTCAATAGCTATTCCTAAGTATGTATGTATGTAATTATACTTAAGTATCAGAGTGAGTTAGAAAGAAAGAACTACATTCCTACTCAGTTAAGTGGTACTCTTTTTGGTTCGCTAAATTTCATAAATTTTTTTTTTCATACATTTTTACAAAAATAATTATTGCCGATTTTATAGGTATTAAAACGTATTCCAGCGTCTGCCCGCATGTACTTGTACATACATATGTATGTATGCTTAGAAAGAATAATCCATAATAATTCATGAATGAATTCCCCAACTCATGCAGATGACGTAATTTATGAATCAACATGCGGACACTTTTATTCCACATAGGTACATATATGTATATAACTTTAATAGAAGCTTAACACTGGCTGAAAAGGTCTATCTGAAAACATTAAGGGTAAGTAAGTACGCAAATATCAGACAAGTTAAAAAAAAAAATTAATTAAATAATAATTGGGCCTTATGATTTCGGCGATCAGCATCGGACACCCCCGAAGAAAAATTCAGTGAGGCCCGGCCGAGAGCGGCCCACCACGACCGAACCCGAACCCGATTGAGCACGGAATGCATGGAATTCCTTCAAAAATATTTACTTCAACGAAAAAATTCAGGTATTATATTTATAGATGGAACCTTTCCCTGATATATTTTTTGCTCAAAATATTAAAGGCATATACATACTTATCATATTTTTTATTCTTCTTTGAGATTTTCGAAAGTTGTTCATCCTTTCCAGTCAGTACACTTTAAAGTTTCATATTTTTACAAAATCAAACAATTTTCTAACATTCATCACTCGTGGTGAAAAGGTATTTTGAGAGAAAGCACTTGTATACATACCATTTAGGTCGCGTCGCTCGAATAGTCGGAATGGCCGAGTGAGCAAAGCACTGGGGTGGTGCCATTTTGCGAATATGTTTTTTAGTATAATTTTTCTTTTTTTAATTTTGTTTGATTTTACTTATTAGACTTTGTAAAAAAAAATTGATTTTTTATTTAATTTACTTTTTAGAAACAACACTTGTTATATTTTTATTTTTGTAAGATTTTATTGTTTATTGTAATTTGTTGTTAAAAAGAAAATAAATTTTTTTTCTGTTTATCAAA